TCTAAAGCTTAACTCTATCAAATGCAACAAGAAAAAAACTGACCTCATCACAAATCTCAGCTCCAGAAGCCCACTCCGTAATCAAGAACTATATGTTGAAGATGAACCAATTAAGGCCAAACCCCATCATGAAGCAATTCGTTACTTAGGCATCTATCTTTCCAGTAAATCAACATCAACTCCAACCAAAGCCAAACTCAAAGAAAAGATACATGATTTCACCAATGCCATCTCAAGTCAAAAAGATTGGAATGGATTCATCACTAGACAAGCATCCCACTGGATCATACTGGCACAACTAGATTATGCAGCCCAAGTAGCTAACTTAACAACAACAGACCTTAATCTTCTCCAATCCAAGATGAATAGAGCAATCAAAAGTAAACTAGGTGTCGAACGAACAATTTCTGACAAAATTCTTTTCTCACAGGCAGAACTCAATATCATTAAACTTGAAAACAAAAGGGACCTCACTGCCATCAAACTACTTATTACCAGACTCGTAAACCCAAAAACTCTTCCTTACATCAAAAAAGAAATAGAATCTATACAAGTGATATGTGCTATTTGGCTATGCCTTATATATGATCCCTCTTATTTTAAAGAAACTTGGTTAACATCCATGGCTCGATTAGCAAAAAAATATAACATTAACAGCTGCCCTTCTCCCTGTCTATTCGTAATTCCTAACCACCAGCAATCCATCAGACTTCTTACCAAGATTAATAAAGATATCACCTTACATTATACTACTCCAATTTCAAAACAATACAAAATACTTACATATTTAAATCTCATAACAAACTCTCCTGGGAAGAACTACATATACACCGAGGTCTCATTTCCCCTGGGCCCATACCACTGTGATTTAAAAATATACCCCAATCAAGTAACACTATTCTTGGAAACACCTTACCCATATCCAATCACAAATCTCAATTCTGGGCATATTTAGACAGCTTAAACAATATTAATCTTATCAAGACCAGACTCAACGCAATCCCTCAGCAGATAATTACAGGCCCTCATTTCCTAACCACGAACTCAAAACAACTTACTAAATGTAATTGCACTAGCCAACCCTGTACCAAGTCAGTTAATATCAATCAACTTAAATCTATTTGGACGACAAAAAGGAACAACATCTTTTTCATTCTTAATAACTTGTGAAAACTAATAGACAGCCTGAATTCCACCATCAATCAAGCAGTAGCCATACCTATACTCTCACAGCCACATGTCCCACAACTCACTAACTATAACATATACTTCATAAATAAAAACCACATCTCTGTTTACAGTTCTCTCAAAACCATTACCTACAAAATTAATACCAATCCTCTAGCTCTTTTTTGGCCAACTTTAACCTCACTATTTCTTGAAGCTATACCACTCTCAACAGTTACATGCTACTCAGCACAGAAACTCAACACCAAACTACTCAAATACATAAATTGCCAAGTTAAATTGCCTTATAGTCACTTCATCAAAATAATTAACAATAAACTTAACACTAAACAAATTACTCTTAACTGGGTCTTTGACAAGAATCAGTTTCCAACAACCTTTCCTCAAAATAATCCAGTACCTATACCAACAATACATCTAATCAACTACACTACATCACTCCTAATCAACTACAACTATGTGACGAGCATCACGCAATGGATCAAATTCATAAATTATTACACTAATCTCTTTAATATCTTTTCAGTTTGTCTGCAACTCACAAGCCCAAATTACTTTCCGAGCTAAACATAATCATCAAATCTAACAAAGAGCTCAAAACAAGCGATAATATCAAATTCAGATCCCTAGCTACCTTCAGAACAAAATTAATGGCGGATCAACTCCCAACCAGAAAAAAACTCCACAACAGATACCCTCAACTCTATACTGACAATCTATGATCACGATGTGACATACATCCAGAAGACTTAACCCATATCTTCACATGTTACCAAAGCCTGCCAACCCTAGGGAAAAAAAGAAACAAGCTTGAGACAATGATTTCCATCAACATTTCAAAAGGAAAACTCAACTCAACAGAAGCAAACCAACTACTTTTCACCAATTTCAACAGATCATACTTCCTCAATCTCGCATTAGGCAAATTTGCTCCACCATTCAACATCCTCCAAAAAAAAGAAGAAATCTCAAATTATTCTTTCAAAACTCTTTACAAAATCTGAAAACAATGCTTAGCTACTGCCACCACTTCAACATCCTCAGGCATCAAATGGAAGAAAACTAATATTCCTAGCAGAAATATTATCACCAACTCACAAACTCTTAACACTTACCAAAAAATATTAGATACTCTAGAAAACTTCAACAATTACACTGATAAAAAAATATTTATTCCAGCTATAGTTTCATCGTTTTGAATAGGCATTAGCCATTTAACACCTTCAACATGTAAAGACCTACTTGGTCTCAATGCATGCTGATTGACTAGTTGCGATAGGCTACAATTAATTTAATTACTCTGTAACTAAAGATTGTTAATGTAATGACGATAAACCATGTTTAATAAATGTTCCGCATTTAATGCCTGTTTGCGATAAAAAAAAAAAAAACTCTTTGAATATTTCAGTAATAAAACATCCAAAACTTATTTATTTGGTTTATGGCAAAAACAACTTACTGAAAAGAAAAAACCTGTTAAAAAAAATATACTTTATTATTTTTTTTCAAGGTTTGAAATTCTAGAAAAGTATATTGATAAATATATTTTTTAAGTTCTATAAGAATCTTGGATTTACCATAAGTAAATATCTTTTATTAGAGATAATGAATAAGCTAGTATTTTGGTTTGTTGTATAGACATATAATCTTTTTTACTAATTATACGTTTATAGTAACCTTCTCAAGTATATTAATAAATTTTTAAATATTTTTGGAAAATTTTGACTATTTCAGTTTGACCTTAAATTTTTTGTTATACTAGAATTTACAATTGGTAATTGATCAAGATTTTGAATTGGCTGATCAATATGTAACAGAAAAGTAAACAAGACATATACTTTTTACATGTTCCTGTCATATATAATATAATAATAATGATGTAATTGTAGAAAGCAGAAGAGCAAGATGTCATGATATTCTCTTGAATAGAAGTGGTTTGGTATCTTTCCCCTTTTTTCTTGAACTGGTTTCTTTTCTATTCAAATCTTTAAAGATTTTTATTTACTAGAACAAACTTTTTATCTACTTTCTTTCTTCTCCTTTATTTTTTTAAAAAATAAAAATTTTTTATTTCTTAGAATTATAGGTTCATGTTGAGGTCACAGTTTGAATATAAGCTAGCTATAATTTTTCTCAAGATCAAAGAGTAATTTTGAAAAATAAGCAATTTTATTATTTCTTATGATCACACTTAGAAAGCTAATATTTGAAAAGTCTAATATCATGTAGTAATAGCTTAATAAATCAACTTTCTTGTAATAAAATAGTTAGAAAATAACTAAATTATGTGGGCAACACAGTAGTTTTGGTATTAAGGATTCAAGGATCATATACAAATCTAAAAATAACTTGTTAATAGGTGTTCTGCATTATATATAGTTTAGCTTTAGTATAAAAGTCTTATGATTCAATATATTATTGTTTTATTTTTATGAAAAATTAATAAACACAGTGAATTGCAATCTGATCAGAGGCAAAAAAAAATATTAACTTATTTATTCTTAATAAGAAAATTTTGTATAAAAATTTAATATTTTTAAAATATTTATAATTTATATAAAAACTTATAAAATGTTTAATTGATATATTATAAAAAAAAAAGAATTTAAAAAAAATATATATTATTTTTTAAATAAAAAAGAATATAATACAGTAGATTAAATTTATCTAGTTTTATTAATTTATAAATCCGTAAACTTGTACTAATATAAAATTACATCTGTTTATTATTTTGAATATAGTTTAATAAAGTATTAATAATATAAATTATTGATTTTATTATTTACTATTTCTTTTATTATCTTTTATTATTTTTTATCATTATTTTTCTATGATTTATTTTACATTATTATATAATTTATTCAAATATTAAACTTTATAATTTATTTATTTTATCGATAACTTATATATACATTAATTTATAAAAAAAACAAATCTTATTATTATATTAAAAAAAGTCTTTTATAAATTCTAATAAAACCAATACACAATATACTTATAATTAATTATAAAATCAATAAGGACTTATATCAAACTGAATTAATTACTAATTGCAAGCTAAAATATTAATATATGCAAATAATTTAATATCTATTAAAGTAAGAATTAGTAGGTCTTTAAATTTTGGTATCAGTATATTATTTCGCGAAACTCTTGATGCAATTAACTTTTATAAGTATAATATAAGAATATAAACAAGTATACAGAAGTATATACAATATGCAACCTTAAAGGAATATAAACAAGTATACAGAAGTATATACAATATGTAACCTTAAAAAAATATAAACAAATATATATATATCAAAAAATATCCCGAAACTCTTGATGCAATTAACTTTTATAAGAATATAAACAAGTATACAGAGGTATATACAATATACAGTAACCTTAAAAAAATATAAACAAGTATACAGAAGTATATACAATATGTAACCTTAAAAAATATAAACAAATATATATATATCAAAAGATGCAATTAACTTTTATAAAGTATAATAAGAATATAAACAAGTATACAGAGGTACATACAATATGTAACCTTAAAAAAATATAAACAAGTACACAGAAGTATATACAATATGTAACCTTAAAAAAATATAAACAAGTATACGGAAGTATATCCTTAAAGAAGTATATATATAACCCTAGATCTCAAAAAAATTTACTTTCCTTTACCTTTCTTTATTTTATCACCCATGATGTTTGATTTAGATGACGACTATTTTGTTGCGACTCCCGTGAATAAATGGAGCTTCCTAGGCTTTTACGAATTCCGCTATTGCCAAGACGATTTCAACAAAATCTTTGCAAAAGAGTCATTTCGACTCAAAAAATCACTCGAGCGTTTATCTCGAGAAGGCGAGAAGGAAATTCGGGAAGGTGCGCTGAGATTTCTCGCCAAATTTTCGGTAAGTATTATGATTTATTATTTACCTATAAAAATAATGCAATCACGAGCAGTATTAGGATTCCATCTAGTTGAATAAGATGTTCAGCTTCCACGATATAAGAGATAATCACGGCTCCCTTTACATATTCTTGTGGTGTATGGACTTCAACAGGGAGGGCATTTATGCTTGCCACTCTATCCACGGGACTGTTATGGCCTGTCGTGATTTGCTATGCTAAAGTATTCCCTCGTGAATTGCCAGACCTTTAAATACATTTTCTCCTTTCTTTAGAAACACTACTATAAACCAGACGTCAAAGATTTCTGGGACGAAATTGAAGTCCAAGAAGAAAGAGATGTTCAAGTATTAGTAGAACTGACTTGCAAAACTAAGGAGGTAGGAATTAAGATGAGGAACTTTATATTTGACAAGTATTGATGGTTGCAAATTTTTATTATTCTCACCGATATCTCTTTTGAAGAAATCGATTGATGAGCAAGAAAATCCGAAGGATTCAAGTGATGAAGCAGATAAAGATCGAAACAAAGTAATCTTCATTGTGATATTCATTGGTTTTTAATGTAAATTGATGAGAATTTATGCATTTGTCGTTTAGAAGGGACCATTTAGAATGAAAGAGAAAAATCGAAAGGAGATTTTAAAAGCATATAATGAAATGAGCAAAGAAAATATGTGGAAGCTTTCGTCTGGGAGAATAGTCGAAGAGGAATTGCTTAAACTGGGAAACGATTTGGAGTTCGAACAGTTAGTTTTTACTCATGAGATTATGATAATATAGGAATAATTGTACTGAATCGTGGTTTTTTTTCTAGTTCCGTTCATTCATTTATAATTGACACTGATGATGAGGCAGTATCTGACCACTTCAGTGAAGAAGAGATTGAAGAAATTAATTGTACTACTATCCCTCAAGTACCCAAGCTCTCAGATGAAATTACTGAATTTCTGCACGAGTTTAATGGGAAGGTAATAATTTATTTACACGTTATTGGAAAAACTATATGTTTGAAATAATCAATCTTTTTACTATTGTAGGAGAGTCTAATTGATATTAGAGAAACCCTGAAAGAGATGATGTTCGGTAAAAATCATCATCACGAAGATCATCATGATAAGGATTACGTAATATACGCTCTATATACATTGTAAGTATTATTTGTTGATTATTGAATAATTTATGTGGATGCTATTTGGCATCAGTATGACTATTAAATTTTTTCTTTTAGGGTTAGAGAGATCGAATATGGAAATATTAAAGATATGAAGCTTGAAGCTTGGTTCAATTGCCACATATGGAATGCGATTTTCGATCATGCTTTCGGAGATTTAAATGTTATATCTGTTGTCAGGTAATTTAAAAAATAACATATTTTTTTATTTGATAAATATTAAGATTTGGTTTAACATCAAGGAGTGAAAGTACGAGTTTGGCAACAACATCAAGAAAAAATGCGAAAAGAAAGTTCTCGGAGAGACGAAAAATAGGTCACAGAAGCGATTGGATCCTGAGGTCCATCACTAACGGTGATAAACTTGAGTTTGGAGCTGGAGAAGCAGGGAAAGTTTGGACGGATGATCACGGAACAAAATTTCTCAAGGAAGCGGGATTAAAACTGCCTAAAGTTCTTAAGGACATGTTAGTAAGGTTAATGGGTAAGGTAGATTGGAGTAGGGAAAAATGTACAAGAATACAAACCGTTGGAATCATTCACACAGGTATACCTTATACATTAATATATTTACCCCTGCAAAAGCCAAAATAATGAACTAATAATGCCTTAATTTTTAGGTTTAATGTTAATGATGGTCTATCTTGATAATCCAAAAGGCTATGTTTGCAGAATTCGACGTGGTGAAATAATGGAGGTGCCAGATACGCCAGAAAATTTTTCATCCGCTCTTACAATTCTTGCATCTGTTCTGAATTTAAAGGTTCGTCAGGATCGCGCTTTTTATTGTACTGTGATCACTATAATTGTAAATTGTAACTATTTTATAAATATTAGGCGGCGGTCAAAGAAACTTTAAAAGCAATAAAATCAAAAGAACCAACCACTGACTCATTAGTAAATGCTGGAACCCGAAAGAGACGTCGAAACATAAGTCAGCACCGGTTGTCTAATTGCATGTCAACTCCGGAGAAGGCAAAGAGGACTAGAATGTGTTAAAGTTGATACTATGAGATCATCACCATGTCTTAATTACTCTTAGCGAAATTGAATTGCCTAGTTTTATATCATCGTTAAAGAGATATTTTATGTTGTGCTAAATTTGCCTTTCTCGTATGAATGCTATTTAACAAAAAATAAATTGTATGATTTGAAATATTGTTGAAATTTATTATTTAGGCGAGTACTGTATCAGAAAACCGTCTCACCCTTTCATATAATGCCTTATATACTGTTTATACAGTGTGATTAATGATTTTTTTTTGAATTTTTGAATTTATATTTTATTTTATTATTCATTAGAAATCATTAGAAATCTTAAAAATTCTACCTAAATATTTTTATCTAAAGTTTCAGATTATAAATAAAAAAATTTTTTTAAGACGTAAAAAAAAAAATTTAATTTTTATATAAAACAATTAAGTTTTCATGGTTTGAATAATTAAATATAAGATTTTTTTAATATTTAAAATAATTTTTAGATTAATTTTATATTGTAAATTTCATGTATAATAAATAAAAATGGTATTTTTCACAAAACAAAACACAAAAAACACTCACACACTCTTATATATGCTATATTAGTCATAAGTTTAAGAATATAAAAACTTTAAGAATCACTTTAATTTAATCAAAGATTAAACAAGTTCGTAAGTTTTGCCTGTCCTTTGATTATATGAGAACATAACTTAACTATTTATAATGAAGCAAAGTTTAAGTAACTATTTTGGGGTGCAGAAAAATGCTCCCCGTGCAGCACCTGTGCAGGTGTGCTTTCGGGTGAAATTATTAATTTTTATTAAGCAAAAGTTACTATTAAAATTTTTGAGTCGATTATGTACGCATATATAATTCGGAAATTTCACTTGCACGGGGAGCATTTTCTGCACCCCAAAATAATAACTTAAACTCTGCTTAATAATGGTATCTCATGTATGCGTCACCCACCTGTGCAGCATACCATACAGGCGTGAAATTTCCAGATCATGAAAACTCCTATATAAATGCAAACATGTGACTTTATTGTTGATCGAACTTTTGTTTTCCGAAATATAAGCAGGAATAAAATCTGATCACCTAAAATATAATAAGTACGGAAATTTCACTACAAATTTATCTGCAAGAGTGCTGCACAGTTGACGCATGGGTGACGCAAGAATGCCGTTGGGGTGTTGCATACATAAGGTAAGGAGAACACCCCTCATGTCTTTTATTTTGGGAAAAAAATCACTGCACCGAATGAGTCGGTTCGGGTCGGGTTCGGTTTTAACCTGATGTGACTCATTTGATAGTAATTCGGGTTTGGGTTGGGTCGATCATCAACCCGAAGATTGTTGGGTTGAGTTCGGGTCAGATTCGGGTTATACTGTATGTTTGGTAATTTCTAATTTTTGATTTTTCTATTAGCTGCGGTAACAAAATTACAAGTATATTGAATAATCAAGCAATGCGATGAGTTTATTTCTTTCTCTCTTTTTATATTGGTACTAACTTATACGCTTCTAAATTTAATCCTTTCTACAAGCAAATCAATAATAATTAACTGTGTTGAGGTAATGAATCTTCTGGTGAGTCAGAATCGTCATAGGGAAAATCAACTCGAAAGATTTTGGTATCAGATCACTAAGGGACACTGTAATGATTTACAAGCAAAAAGAAGAAAGCGAGGAGAAAAGGAGATGAAGAAAAGAGGAGAGGTTCCTATTACATTACCCTTTTTTTCTTTCGACTTGTTTTCCCTTTATATTTTTATTAAATACAATTATTTCTTTAGTGTATTAAATAAAGCTTATGGATATTGGCTACTGAATATTTTAATAGTTAATTTACAGAGCATGAACAAAGGAGATTTGAGTGACCTTAGCATTCATTTACGAAAACCTCAGTGATCAAACTCAAGATATAATTTGAAGGACTGCAGACGACATTCTGCAAATTTTTAAAAAAATATATACTCAAGAATTTTGATGAGATTGAAACGGTCATCTTTATCATTGTAACGGATAGATTTGCATAGCCAATGAATTTGGAAATAAAGATAACAGATTATTATCCTGGGAATGTCATGAATTAGGATAGATTTTTAGGCAAGATTGATGAACTTGAAGTTGCTTTAGTATTTGATAAAGAGGAAGAAGAATTTGAAAAATATGAAGTTGAGTCCGAGGAGGAAGATAATGATGAAAGTTGTGTAGAAGCATTGAAAACAGTTGTATTAGACGTTGATCAAGTTGAGGATGAAAAAGATAGGTGAAGAAAACGAAGGGTTCTGAACTGCTATTGGTCCAGATACTGCCAAATCAAAGGTCACTTGTACAAAAAAATCTCTGCACAATAGTAATATGTTCTGGCTTTAGCATCTAATATTATATTACTATCCAGATCCAAACACCGCACAAGAAAAGATAGCGAATACCATGCAAATACTTGAATCAGACAGAAATACTTGTGACTGCAAAAATAAATTATTGAATCTTTTTGATAATGACAAATTTGGTCTGATCAATACATCGACAAGAAATAGGGAGTTAATTTTATGGTATACAAAACTTGCCAAAGCTGGAACAGACAACACTAAGCAACAAAGTATTGAACATGAAATTTGCAAGCAAGGATTTGAATGGATTCTTAAAGAACCCGAGAAGAGTGAATTCATCGTGGTGAAATTGCTGCCCAGAAAGGTGCAGCTGAGGACGCAATGGAATAAACAATAAATCTGTGCCAGCACATGGTTTAATTTCTGCTTCTGTCAAGATACTTTGCATCCAGTAAAGATGGCAATACTTAAACCTGTAATTGATCGATCTCATAAGATTTCTAAAATGTTGAAGATGGTATCTATTTTGCTGAGAGTGCAGGCAAATATACCTGTTGTTATTTGTTGAGTGGTCAAATAAAGAAAGGTAATAATTACAATGTATTACTATGTTTATTTAAAAAAATATTACCAACTCAATTCTAATTTTGACAAGTCTGATCGGATTTCTAGCCTGTGTGATTGAGATTCGATTTTTTGCCTTCAATCTTCATGTGGGTATCAAAAAGAATGACATTTCGCAATTCATGACCGAAGATCAGCAAAATGCTAGGAGGGGAAAAACTGGATATATTTGACAAAGAAAAAATATGTAATAACATTAGTCTCCTAATAGACCTAATAACTCATTGAATATATCATGAGAGATTGATTTACCATAATATCTGAATATTCTGTATGCATCCATTACCATTTGCGAATGAGGAGTGTCAGTGTAGCTGGTCTAGAAATTAAAAAATTTGAAGAGCAAAGCAACCTTGTATATGAAGTAAGACTACTTCTCAATCGAATTCTTGTGATAGTGAATAGTGGTATATTCGAAAAACGTAATTAAAGGAGATGGATGATCTGATTCTTGCAAAATGATTATTTGCCTTGCAACAATTTATTCAAGAAGTAGAACCATACAGTGTTAGTTTACGTAATGTCAAATATACTATTAAACTTATCAAGTTCTTTTACAAATTTGCAAGGTCGACCGCTAATTCGTAAGTGTTTAGCATACAAATTCGTTTATTTATATTAGCATTAGGTCTTTGTTATTGGTCAAGATAGTATTGTGTTTAAAACATTAGGAATAATGGTTAATTGTTTATAATTAAAATATTTGTATGATTTTAAGTTTATATTTTGCTCTTTATTTATTTAATATATTATGAAATTTTATACATGTTAATAATTATTTAAAATATAAAGTTTAGCTTCAGATTTAAAGATTTAACGGTTATTCTCATCACATTGAATATCGATGAAAAGTGTTATTGGCCTTGAAAACTTCATTATTGTATAAATCTAAAAATCACAAGTAGTTTAGCCCACAAAAGTAAGTAAAGTAAAAAAAATAAAAACAAATTATCCTGGATCTCAATAAAAAAATATTAATATACTAACTTGAAGATGCAATAAATCAGATGCAAAACAACTATTAGAATATTTGCCAATAATTAAATCAGAAAATATAACTAAAAACAATCACAAAATTTTAAAAAAAATTGTATGCAAAATCTTTTACAAATGTTTAAAGATATTATTTGAGTCATTAATTTCAGCAAAAAACAGAATTAACTATTTAATTGAAGGCAAAAATATTTAATTTATTTCAAAAATATTAATAATTATATCTGATTAGTCTGAAGCTGCAACCTTTTGTTTAACTTATAAATCAAGTAATTTAAATAATTCTTATCATTTTTGCTTAGTTACAAGAGAAAATCTTGCAGAAATAAATTTATCAAAAAAAAATATAATATCTTGAAATCATAAAAAAATAAAAAAAATATTTCAATTAAATTTAACAAAATCAATATCAATAGAAAATATTAATAATTTTTTTTAAAGTATTTCATAAATTTTTATACTTTTTATAATTGATTTATATATTATAAAATTAAATAAAATTTTATTAATTTATAACAAAATGAATATATATAAAGCAACTGTACCTAATATAATGCATTATCTTGATTTGAATCTTTTTTAATATCAAATTGAATATGCATGAGAATTATTAAAGGACTTTCATAACCTTTCACTTTTGAATAAAATAAATTAAAGACTTGCACAAATTCCAAGATTTCTGGAATTAAAATTTTTTTCACATAATATTCAATCTATTGCAAAATTAATTGCAAATAAATATAAAAATCTAATGAAAGTTATAATTTTTGTAATAAATAATATATGTGACAAAAGTATATAGAATACAGATATTAATAAATTGCCAATAATTTATTGAGAATATAATAAAATATATATAATTAGTAGATATAAGAAGTTTTCCAAAAGTGATTTTAAAAAATTTGAAATATAAAATAATTGTTTATTTAATTATATTATAAAATACTTAAAATATATTTTATTATAGAAGTTTATAAATATATGGGCATAAAGATTTATAAAAATATTTAAAAGATTTTTAATTTCATAACTAAAACTTCCAAAATTATATTTATAAATATATTAT